TAGAGAGAGGAGGAGAGAGGGAGAGGAGAGGGAGAGAGAAGAGGAGAGGAGAAGAAGAGAGAGGAGAGGAGAAGAGAGAGAGGAGAGGAGAGAGGAGGAGAGGAGAGAGAAGGAGGAGAGAGAGGGAGGAGAGGAGAGAGAGGAGGAGAGAGAGGAGAGAGGAGAGGAGAGAGAGAGAGAGAGAGGAGAGAGGAGAGAGAGAGAGAGAGAGAGAGAGGGAGAGAGAGGAGAGAGAGAGGAGAGGAGAGGAGAGAGGAGGGGAGAGGAGGAGAGAGAGAGAAGAGAGAGAAGAGAGAAGAGGAGAGGAGAGGAGAGAGAGGAGAGAGGAGGGGCGGAGGAGTGTGAGTATGAGTATGAGTTAGATGGGGGATATGGGAGTGAGTGAAAATGGGAGAATGGGAATAAATGAGTGTGTGTGAGCAAGAGGGAGAGAAAGTGAGACTGTGATAGAGAGCAAGTCTGAGAGTAAGAATGTGTATGGGTGGAGTGAGATTTTTATTTTCTTTTATTTATTAACTAATATTCTTTTATCTTTTTTCAGGTTCAAGTGTCATTATTGTCCATTTGCCAGCAACACTGAAGATGCAGTAAAGCAGCATTGCACTGTCAAACATCCAAAGTTACAGAGTGAAGTGATTGATGTTTCGCAGCGTTTAAGGCCTCAAAAGGTTGAGGACACTGATCCTGCTGAGGTAGATAATGCTATTAAAGAAGATTCCTCAGGCAGTATCCTCCCAACAAAGGAGGAAGAAAAGGGAGATATATCAGATGAGAAGATAAGTAAAGAGAAGATTACTAGTAAAGAGTCAGAGTCCTTAGAAATTAGTACAGACAAGGTTGATAAACTTACCGAAGAAAAGGCAAAAACTGAGGGGGGAGATACTCCTGAGGTAACAAAGACCCATAAGTGTCCATTCTGTCCATTTGTAAGCAACACCACATCAGGCCTAGGCCACCATAAACGCACGAAACATGCTGATAGAAGACTCTTTATGTGTCTTCATTGCAATGCCCGTTTCAACAACTCCTTTGATGTTGTACGTCATAACAAGTGGAAGCACTCTCACCTTAAACCTCAGTTTACTCACCTCCAGGAAGATCATGCAAGTAGTGAGACTCCTAAAACAGATGGGGACACCACTACAAGCGCAGACAGTAGTGACAGTTCATTAACAACGGTCATAAAAGACCCCACAGCATCTGCAAGTGGTGCGAGCTCACCACAGTGGCCACCTGGCCCGAAGTCAAAGAAGGGTAAAGCCAGAAAATCATTCCCAAATGCATCATTGTTAAAAGTTTCTGCAGGAAAACCTGCAGCAGAAGCAAAGGTGGATAGTATACAACCAGTTTCAATAGTCAGTAATAGTGAGCCACAGGTGACATACTCCTGTTGTCATTGCAACCAGCAGTCTAATAAGATTGCAATGGAAGAACACATGAAAAAGCAACACAGGGATCTCCCACATCAAGTTCGAAGGGAGGAGGGAGACAAAGTCTTCACAGAAGTTCATGTTTACAAGTGCATTCATTGTGTTGTAGAAAGCATATCCCTAGCACAAGCAATGGATCACTGGATTCAAAATCATGCTTTGCTTGATTTTAAATTCCAAATGGTGATGAGGCATTGTGGAGAAGTGTCAAACCAGGTAGTTACGAGTACAACTGAAGACCCTCCACAGACCCCCTTGGTGGATGAGGTGAAAGATTCAGTTACACCTGAAGCTGACACCAGCTCGAGTTCTGCTGCTGGTTCCAGTGCCATTATCAGCAGTAGTTCAGAAGAACAAAGCAACAAAACAGTGAAACCTCTGAAAATAGCCAAAAGAAGAACAAGTGGCAAAGAAACAAAGTCACCTGCGCAGTGTGACAGTGAGGATGAACAGAGTGAAGCTTCGGAAATTGTTGATGAGCCACTGGTTCAGACTAGCTCTGAGTTAGATGAGGAAGGTTTTGTTTTTAAATGTGGACTGTGCAAGAAGAGTAGTGCTAAATTAGAGGAACTGGAAGCTCACTTCAGTAAGGTAAGTGATAATGTGTTTCTGTTCATTACTGTTTTTCTTATTTTCAAATATTAAGCAATCAGTGTTGCATCCATTATGTTTTTTTTTTTTACTCTTTCCTGCTTTTAATAGGAGTAGGCATTTTGAAGTTTGATGTATATATTAAATGTTATTTTATTCTTTTTTTTTCTTTCTTTCTTTCTTATCAACTATTTCTTCCCTCTATTCTTACAATTGCAGAATTTCCAAAATTCTTTACAGATTTTAGATCACTGACAAACTGTAGCAATGTGTATATTTAGATTGAAATATGAAAATATGAATTCAGGCTAATATTGAATGGAAATTTTGTATTTACAAATTTTATCTTTTCAGATCCATGCGGATAGGGAACTAACATATAAGAAAATGCGTAAAGAGGCATTTGAACAGATTTACAGAGCTGAATATGAGTGTGGCCATTGTGGGGAAAGGGGACGCCACATTGTGTTGAAGCGACACCACAAAACGACTCACTTGAATCTGCCTTTTAAGGTTGTGCGGGTTAACCAAAATATTTACTACAGGTTTGTGGATTTACTTTTGTCCTTCTCCAGTAATTGCTTTTACATATTGTTGCACAAATGGGGTTGGCAATCACATATGCATATTTCATTTACTAGCTTTTTTTCTTGTATTAAGTTATTAATAGAAGAATTATTTATGTTAACTATTAATTACTTCTTATAAATTGATTAAAGGCATTAATCTTTGGAATTTTTATTAGTATACAGACATTATTTAATGATTTTTTTATCTGTAGGTGTGATGTATGTTGCCATGTTGTCAAGAACTTGCAGTCAATGCGGTATCACATTCGACGTCATCATCCAGAGGCAGATGAGTTTACCTTTTCCAAGTTGACTTTAGGTTCCCCAGTAAGGCCTCCAATGAAGCAGCCATTTAAGTGCAATTATTGTGGTGATGTCGGAGAAACTCTTCAGGAAATGCGCACTCACCATGCATTCCTTCATTCACATCTAGACTGCAGCATCACAAACCTGATGGATGAGGCTTTGTCATCTGTTCACAGTCCTACACCTAGTCATAGCTCAAATGAAGTAAAAAATCCACCTCTAGTTCCTCTCCCAGTGATATCGAAGTGCAGCAGCCCTCAGGTGGCAGACATTAGTAGTCCAGCTGCAGATATCAAATCTCCAGTCATCCCAGAGATGAAAAATACAGCGAGGAAGTCAATAACAACTCTGAAAAAGCGACATGTTGCGATGAAGTCAACTTCAAAATCACAGCCAAGAGCATCAACAAGCAGCTGTAGTGATGAAGATGGGCAAAGTTGGTATGGTGTTCCTCAGCCGTCAATACAGATGGAAAATCTATATGCTTTTGTGAACCTTGGGGCCGGAGTTCCAATGAGGCTTACTGTGCAGCGTTTGGGAAAACTACTAGACTTACAACCCAAAGTTATGGTTTATGATGATCAGTTGCAGTAAAGGAATATATATACACATATAGTATTTTTTAAAACAAGAGTGACCATGCTTATCCACAGATCTGTTTCATCTAAGAAAAAGCACATCTAAAGCATCAAAAATATCTTGTTTCTGCAAGTTGGCAATTATGTGATTAAATACATTAGTAGGAAATACATTTTTATTTCTGATGCATGTAACTGTACCCAAGCAAATATGGAAAAATAAAAAGGCATTTGAGTTTTGTAAAAAGTGTAACATAATTAATGATAGGTATTGATTTGATACAAGACTGAAGTTTTATGGCATAAGAATTTTGTTGAGAAAGTAAAAATAAGTTATCTATTAAGGTAATTATCAGATTTATATTCACGTAGATTTTCCAAAAAATGTTTTTGGTATTTACATGATTCAGTAGATAGAGAGGAATGTTGTCACTTAAGAAGTACAATAAAGCTTGTATTTATGATATCCTGTATAGTGAACATAATTCCACAAGCAAGTTATTTGGTGGCATGAAATGAGTAATTGGATATAGTTTGTGCTTAAAACAAATAACCTAGTCTTCCTCTGAAGGACAAGAAAATTTTGTTTCTGTGATAATGGATTCTATTTTCTGTTTGTAATGTCACATAGTTTCCAGAATGGGATATGGAAATATGATTGCTGAGGTGACATTGCACAGAATTGTTAAAAAGGCTGTAATTAGCCATGATAAATACATATATTTTTTATTGTTATTATTATTTCACCCCCAATTGTGAATATCTGCTGCTAATGCAGGATTAGTTTATTTGGTCTGGAATCTGGTACAGCAAATTTAAATAAAACTATACAGCATGAAGTATTCTGAGAAAGTAGACTCATATTTGGAGGTTTACTTTTGGTGAATGAAATCATTTTCTCTCAATTATTGTCATATTCCCTCCTCTTTCAGACAGATTGACACAAACACAAAATCTTAAGTGCTGCCCATAAGATTTGTCCTGTAATTGGTGGCCGGCAAGGCTTTAGCTTGTGATGACCGGTTTGCAAACCTTTATAAGGTCTGCCATGTAGGTAGGTCAGAATGTGTTTGTGTTACCTCGGTATGAGTTGACCAACATTCTTAAACCTCTGGCATATGTGTATTAAAACGTGGAGGTACAAACATTTTGTAAAATTTTATTTGAAGTTCCTAGTTGATTTAAATAATCCAGTATTTTTGTAGATATAAGTTGGGAATGTGAGTATTCTTTTTGTCATACCAAAACCGTTTTAAGTTATTTGAATTCTACAACCGAAGCTTTTTTATCAGATTTAAAAAGCTCATATACCTCATTCCATTATACATATGTTGTTTTGTATGCTAAATAATGCCCGAGTGTTATTCTGTTTAATAAGTCTTGTTAGTTGAGTGTGGTTATGTTGTGAAAATGATTTTTTTTTTTTCTGATTTTTTCATGTGTTATAAGTTAAAAGCTCTTTAGTGATGGAAGAACATATGAAGGGAAATAAAACCCTCGAGATTACTGCTCTCTGAAAGGTGCCTATCAGCTGTAATATTAGTGTAATTAGTATTATTTTAGCATTAGGGCACCTGAGCCTCGGAATCTCATGCAGTCACTGCTTCTATATTGTGGAGTGTCACGATTAAGCAAAGTGAGTTTGGTGGTGCAGACCTGTAGGTGTGAGATTCAAGAGGTTCAGTGCATTGATTTGTAAAATAGAGAACCACTGGAATTCAAACTACTGCTCATGTTGTATTTGTAAATAAATGAATTTTGTGTAGATGTCTACACACAAATATTTGCTGTGACACCCGTG